AAAGCAATTAAAAATATAAAAACACTTGCAGTACACACAAAAGTCATAAAGGAACAGATAAATCAAAAGAAAACATTCATAGCCTCGACAGTTTTCTATACAAGTGGTTTACAAATGACACCACTGAAAATCAACTAAAATGGCTATAAATCTGTCATTATAAGTGACACAGACAAGCAAATACCTTCAGTACACGTAGCATAGTTGTGTTCATATTATATCCAAAGGACACTCACCAAACAAGTCTACAGTCGAGTAAAAGTGGTTCAACAAAAATATGAGAGGCCAACACATTTTATGACATAGCTCTTCAGCAAAGACACTGATTGAATCTGTAAATGCGGGACAACACAGCTTATACATCAAAGATAACATGTACCTACCTAATCTGGTTAAAATGACCACTTTCAAAAAATATAAAATACACTCAAGCATTCATAGAGCCACCATTTTAGCCAAGAGCATAGCACACAGGATATGACATCATCCTTTGATCTTGTACAGCTTTAATTGGAAACCGACTTCCTGTTTCTTATCCATGTGTGTATGTAGTATCTATGTTTTTCAACTTACTGCAATACTTTAGTGGAGGTTTCCAGCTAAAAGAAGGTATTGATTTTACATGTTACTGTTTTATCAAGTGTGTTATTTCATTTTATTAAAAAAACAAACAATTAATTAATGTTATGACTTATGATATGCAATGATAATTATGAACTTGACAACAGCCTGGAAGAACAGGAATAGCAGGGAAGATGGACACTCTTAGCTCACAGATTCTTGAACAAGGACTTGTGTCAAGACTAATTCCTTCAGCATGTCTATTTGATGCTGTCTCTCATAAATGTTATAACAATGATAATAATAAAGAAAATTATTGTTTGTGTAAAATCAACAAGTATCACAATTGCAACTAAAGAAATACTATAAATATTATTTTAAAAATCAACACAAACAAGAACATAAAAAATTTATAAAAAAAGATGAAGTAGGATTCTGAACGACCAACGAAAATACGAAATAGTATAAAAAAATCAACACAAACAAGAACATAAAAAATTTAAAAAAACAAGATGAAGTAGGATTCCAAACGACCAACGAAAATACAAAATGAAAATCCTACTCGTGACACAAATTCTACTCTACATTGCAAGGTGATCCGTAATTCTTACATAATAACATTGAAAGTACAATGTAGAGTAGAATTTGCGTCACGAGTAGGATTTTCATTTCGTATTTTCGTTGGTCGTTCGGAATCATACTTCATCTTGTTTTTAAAAAATTTTTTATGTATACCGTAGATCGGGAAATTTTCGTTGTTAAAATATTTTCGCGGATGAAGTGATCCGCGAAAATTTGACACACGAAATATTTTCTACAGTGAATAATAAGATTACCGGAATTATTCTAACGTGCAGCGGTGCACCCACGAGGCTCTTCTAGTCTTCTAAAAGCCCAAAGAAGGCCTGAAGCTCTCACCCAAGAGGCTCCTTGTCAGTTTTAGTACTGTCACGAGCAACTTCCATTGAATAGCTGTCCATCGTCATCAAGAGTTAGTAGCCACTTGTGTGGTTTATGACGCGTCCAAAAATTTTCATGTTGAAAAAATTTCGCGGATGGGTCAACCAGCAAAAATAAAATACCTTGAAAAAAATTTCACGCCAATTATTTCTAACATGAAAATTTCCCGATCTACGGTACATATGATTGTGTGTGTATTTGTTTATTGGTTGTAGCTAGTTGTGTGTGTTTGTATATACACATGATGTGAATATGTGTATTATTATGTACATACATGTATATAAGTATAATCCTTTGGTTATATTAGGAGTCACTGGGAGAGTGAACTGGGACAGTGACAGTGTAACCCTTGACTCTCCATCTCCAGTTCAGTGTAATGAAGTGATTAGTAATATTAATAACAATCATAAGATGATTAGACTCTATTACTCATCTACTAATAGTACAGTATCTCTACTATCATCAACTAAACTGCATACACTAAACCTGAGGAGACTTGAGATATGGTACACTCCATTAACTAATGATTGTATCCAGTACTTGTGTATACTACTAACTAATAATAAAACAATACAAGAACTAGAAATCAGTTTCCACTCCATTAGTAATAGAGGAGTTACTAATATCTGTCAAGCACTTGAACACAACTCTACACTTACCTCATTAGATCTTTATGATAATCCTCTCATCACTTCTACTAGTGGACAGGCTCTTTCTCACCTCCTCCTTAATAACTCATCACTAGTTGAACTTGATCTAAGTCATACTTCATTGTCTACTGAGTCAATACTACTCATCCTCCAGTCACTAATGGATAATAAGAAGATAACAGAACTCACACTAGATGAGCGACACAAAGAGACTTGTATTAATATTTATCCTAACTATCACCTCATACAAGACAAGGTAGACTGGAGCTAATCACTCTTCATGTGAATTTGTGTATCTTTATCAAAAACAAGCGACCAATCAGAATTCACTATACATAAAAGGCTGTGTTATTTTTAATTAATTTTTATAATTTATAATTTTTTCCTGCCCACAAGTGACAACAAATCATTTCAATATTACTTTAATCATACAACATATAATTAGAAATGACACATGTACAATTACTATAATAATACCCCAGTCCTTCATACTGGTATGTTTTGAGAGAACGAGACAGACAAGACTCATTGTGTAACGAGTTAGCCCCGCCCACAGACACGCCCCCTACTCCATAATTGTTTCCTCAATACACAAACTGAAGAGAGAGAGATAGATCAGTCCTTGATACTGGAGAGGTACGCTTTGGTACAAAATTATTGTTAGTCTTAGGATCATGAAGTAATGGTATTAGTAATTGAGATTGATCAGACTGTCTTACCAAATTAAACTAGAAATATTGAGAGAACAACTACTGAATTATATTATAAGACTAGGATCTACATCACTTACACGTAGCAACATAGCATTAGGACATGCATCAATATGTATCAGAAAATGTAATAAAAATTGGGGGGTAATTTCGGAGCCATTTTTTTGAAAAAACCATGGGCTATAGTACAGGTAAAATTAGCATATAAAAATGAGACACTTCCTCTATCTCACCTCAATGCTGTCAGAGAAGAGGAACAATGCTATAGACAATGGTTTATTAGTCTTTCCATTATTGCTAATATTTAACTCCAACACATCATGTCTTGAAATAAACCAATGATGAGATGAAAGGACCGTCGCCTAAAAGGGGAGGAGTCAGTTATTAAAGACCACACCCACTAATTACCGGGACGTCTTCAATGTCACGTATAAGTTCAAACATGTGCATCTGCTTCTCTGTCTTCCTCTTGTCTTCATTTATGTGTCTAGAAGAATTAATAATAATAAATAAATAAAATACATGTACATGTAGTGATGTATAACTCACTCCATTACATTCTTAAGTTTTTCAACTGATTCCTCCAACTGCTTGTAATCAATGTGGCCAGTATCAGTACGCTTTAATAAATCTATAAAAATAATAAAAATAATAATAATAAAAAACATGCAGACAGTAGATGTAGATGCACTGTACAGTGACCATTGTAATTGTTGAGAGATGACATTTTGGTGTATTGGAAAAAGGCTATCAAAATGAGAGAATTATCTTACCCAACATCAGCTAAATTACAATGTACAGTACATGTAAATACTAGTATTTATATAATATACATGTACCTTGTAGTAATAATATGATCCTTGGTATTCTTTGTACTGGTGTTATCAGTAGTTCTGATAGTGTCTGGCGGCCACACTCTGGTTTGGACTCATTACACTTAAGGAAAGCATGAAACCTTGGGAACTGACGATCACAGGAACTGAGAGCCTCTTTAGTGACCTCAAAATAATTTATATATGGAAGATACACACGTAATAACTCTTCAGACTATAGGGAGGAGAATCATTGA